CATATGAGTCTACCGCGTATATAACCCGTGTGGAGAACACAATATGTCAATTACTCCTCGCCACAACTAGTACACTTGAATAGGAAAATGGGGACCCCTTGGTTTCCACAATTCCTTCAAACTGCGCTTCTGGCTATATGGGCCATGGCACCTGTGAACTGGGTAGTCTTACAGCCACGCTTCTGACAGCTCGCCGACAAGTGTGGCTCGCCCAGGCGAAACTGCCAGAGGATTGTAAAAAGACACTACGAGACCTCCCAATTGTTCCTGGTCACCTGTTTGGACCCAGTGTCCCAGAGCTTCTGGAAAAGAGGAAATTGTCTGAGACCACTTGTCAGTTGACCACTAGTCAGTTGGCTCAGCGCACTTCTGTTTTTAAGGTGCCGGGCATTCAGGCTCAACATCGTTTTGCAACACCAGAGCAACGATTCCGTCAGCGTTCTACACCACAGCCTCAGGGGTTACAGAGGCCCTGTGCTACTGAGGACACTCAAGGTTTGCACTCCTGTTTTTAAGGTGCCGGGCATTCAGGCTCGACATCGTTTTGCAACACCAGAGCAACGATTCCGTCAGCGTTCTACACCACAGCCTCAGGGGTTATAGAGGCCCCGTGCTACTGAGGACACTCAAGGTTTTCGACCTCATCAGCAGCAGTCGCCAGTGGGTCCACGTCAATATCCCCCACTGCTGTTAAAAGTCGCACCCACAATGCTTGAAGGCACTGGGCCGGTGGTCGATCATTATTCAAGTCTACACCTGCAGTACTGGAAGGAGATGACAGTAGATCTATGGGTTTGGACTATAACGAGCAGGGGGTATACTCTGCATTTTCGACGCCAGCCCCTAAAATTTTCAAGGATTGTTCCTACAGTAATAGGGAATCCGGTTTGTTCAGAAGCTCTCTCTCAAGAAATTTGATCGCTGCTAGAGAAGGGAGCCATAGAAAGAGTTCATCCCTTTCAAAGGGACGGTTTTTATTCAACTTTCTTCCTCGTTTCAAAGAAGGATGGTGGTTTTCGTCCAGTTCTAGACTTGAGACATCTAAACGTGTTTCTGAAAACTCTTCCCTTTCGGATGTTACATGCAGCTGACGTTCTTCGGTCAGTAAAAAGAGAAGATTGGTTCATAAGCATCGATTTGAAAGATGTTTACGATGTGCGATGCTTAGTATACTGATCGTTATATTTATACTGATCATTTTCTTTGCTCACACACAGACCCTGCATCTAAACCAGACGCGACAGCTGTACAGAGATACCCATTTTTAAATAAATTTAGTTGCAGAGCTACTGCGAGCGATTATCAGTGCTGGAAATCCATTTATCCTTTGTTGAAACGTTCGGGTCGTCGTCACGGCTGCTTTGCAACGGTAGACGCCATGAATGTGCAAGCTCCCGAACGCTTTGGAAAGAAGGAGAAAGCGGCACAGCTGGTGTTTTCCACGTGTTTTAGGCACGACGTGAACAGCCCCAAAGTCTGTCTACACTGGACGCAACCAAGCGACCTTTGCAAATAATTTGAACTTTGTCTCAGTACGTCATAAATAGAACGTGCCATCAGTTTACTGTCGGGGATTTGTCGTGTCGCGTCACACCGCATCCAGTGTAGTCAGACAGCATCACTGGTTATAATGGGTTCTATAGTATTTTGTCGCGCCGCACCGCTCGCATCCGGTGTAGACACGGTGATTTGTCTGTTTGTGCCTGAAATGACACATACGCGCAAAATTATATCGAAATGAATGTCTCTGCAAGTATCCTTGTAAACTCAGTTGCTTTTGGCTTAGGTGAAGGTCAACAATTAAGAAAGAAAATGGATGTGTAACAGAATATTGACAGCAGTTTAATGTTCCTGTTGATTTCTGTGTCATGTTATTCAAACCACAAAACACAGAGAAAAATAACTTTTGTAGCAGAACACAGATTAACACAGCGGTGCGCTGTCGCCCTTTCTACGTAAAAATCAGTCAAATCATGTAACGTGAATGTCAGACAGTGTCTTACTCGAGACAAAAAAAAACGAGTTGAAAGCGTAACGAGCCGCGGAAGAGACAGACATCTTCCCTGGTGGCCAGGACGCGTCCTGGGAAAATGGCACGTATGGTCACCCTATCATTTACTGTCTATTTTGTTCTTGTAGACTATACCTTGCTGTGCTTCATCATAACGAAAACGCAAACAGAGAACAAGCCACAACATCAGCAGGAAAGATGGTGTACAAAATGGTGTTCCCGAAATCCAAAAAAGGGGAATGCATAGCACGGGCATTAAAAACAGATCCGACATGTAGTAAGTAATAAAACAGATTTATTCAAACAAATAAATAAATAAACAAAATAATATATTATATACTGTATATAACAAGTAATTAGTAATGTCCCTTTTTTTTCCTTACAGATTATGTTGACGAGCTACTGAAGCTCATCTTTGACTAAGTTATTATGGACCCATCTCCATTTGTGGATGAAATGAAGGCAATCCTCATTCCCACGCCCCTTTGTGCAGAGTATGACAGACCGTCAGAGGAGGAAGCGATTGCCCATCATGTTTCCAGATTCAATCAAGAGGGGGTCGGAAGCTAACGTAATGACCAGCCGGATCTGGAAACTCCAGGCGTATCCGGGTGACAACGCAGGACGGAATGACAACACGGACACTCCGACCTAAGTAGCCCCAGCACCAGCTGACAAAGCAAGATGGCGGAGCTGCCTAAAAATGAAAGGCAAACCTGTTAGTCTATGTGACCAAATAAAACATGTACAGAGTTTGAGTTTGTAAATAAAGATTATTTGAGTTACATATTCATATTTCATCATTTACGTGTTCTAGTTATGCCAATTTGATTATTGGTATGTTTTATCAGACTATACATACTCCTCTGATGTTCTGCCTCTTATACGGCCGTAGTCGCTTCTATAGATGTTGTAGATGTTCCTCAGAGTATATGGATTTAGACAATTTGGTTCAAAGCCTGGATGGTGTACCATGCATGTAGGTGGGACTGGAATCTGGTTCATTCTTCTTCCCAAGGTGAAAAAATGTGTGTCAAAACTATCCAGAACAAGTTGCTATATACATGTGTGTATATACATAATATATGTATATATTTGTGTAAAAAAATATTACAACTCGCATTAGGATTGTGCTTTTATTCCATAGCGTTCCATTACATTCTCATACATTACATGTACTAAGCGTCAAAACCACAAGTATTGCAGAAACAATTCTCTACCTGTCGTGCTTCTTTGCAGCAAAGGTTTTCAGCCTCGCTTGGCATTTTGATACAGTTCCCACACGTGCACCTAAATAAATTAGTAAATTAACTCACGCGCATACGTCAAACTGCCATAAACAATACTGACACTTACCATTGAGAAACGTCCTGTTCCAGTCGTGTTTGCGCTTGACTTTCTGGTTCAACAACTCTGGACGCTTCCTCGTCGGACTCGGGCTCGAACTGATAAGGCAAAATTTAAGCCATGTTGTCTATTCATAAACTGAAATCTTCAATACTCGATAAACCGTAATCCAGTATTGTTGATGGGCGTTCCGTTTCTCACATGTGCTGCACGCAGTAGACCAATCACAACAGACTGGGTCATCGGACCAATCACCGCAGATTAGCGTCACGCAAAGGAGGAGTTTGGAAAAATTTATCGTTGAACGAATCGTTTGGGAGTCGTTGAGCAAATAAGGGTAAAAATAAAGCATATTATAAGACAGTGAAAATGTTTTTTGACCTTGCATGCATGTCAACCTGTTGTTGTGGACTCCCAAAACAAAAACATGAACTTTCCTGACCCATAATAGGGGCACTTTAAGAACATTAAGAATGTATAAACTTGTTTTCGTTACAGCTGTGTAATCGCATTGGACGAATCTGCCGGTGGTGATTTCAAATATCAACATTGGCTACCAGAAATCACTTACTCTGCCTTTAATTTACGAGTAGCTTAAGCTACAGTTTCAGAGTAGCTTTCCCAACACTGCGGAAAGGTAAGTAACATAGCTCACGTGCACGCTCACATCCCCAGTTAACACGATCAACAATGGCATTCAATTTACAAAATATCTTCATGGAACATGATCTTTAATTAATATCCTAATGATTTTTTGGCATAAAAGAAAACGTGATCATTTTGACCATACATTGAATTGTTGGCTATTGTTACAAATATGTCCCGTGCTACTTATGACTGGTTTTGTGGTCCAGGGTCACATATTTGTTTTCTAATGTAAAATTATATTATTTTAGCGTGTAGACAATACTTTTATTTTGGTGTGGCGTTATGACGTCATAAGGCTGCGCCGCCCTCCTGCGTCTGTGATTCGGCTGACAAAAGGTGTGTGCTTTTAATATTTTTAAAGTGTTTAAATCAATCAAACTTATTTGGAGAATTGTATATAAAACTGTGCTTATCCTTACCTAGTGACATTACTGAAGGTTATTTTGTGTGAGTAAAGCGCATGAGTAACATAAACGGTGCGTCTCATTTCGCTCCCTGTATCGTGAATCATTTTATCGTAACACGAGTTCAGTCACTGACGACTAGTGAATGAGAGCTTTATGTAACTCCGAGTCAACTGAATCAACTTCATCGTAAAATGATTCATTGATTCGAAACGCTCGAATCAGCGCTCGCTGACGACACTGCTGCTCAAAATACAAACACAAACGTGTCGCAGATTTTACAAACAAACTGCAAATGTTTATCAAAGTATTAAAAATAACCTATAAATCAGTAAATGCCAAATATAAATCTGAATACGAATATGAACCTTATATTTGATTTGTGTTTTTTTATTTTTTATTAATTTGCACTCAAATTAATAAAAGGACATTATAATTATAAGGACACTTATTATTTAGTTTTTTTTTTTTCTTTCTTTTTTTGTCCTTTGTGCTACTGAACTAAGGAGCTGATTGAGAAGCACCCAGAGATTTAGCTTGCATTTATTGCATTTATTTTTCTTTCTGTTAATTATTCTCTTCTTAAACAGGACAAAGTGTCCAAACACACAGAAAAACTCCTGAAGCGACTGAGACACACATGACACACGATAATAAAGATGGTGTTTATTAAAGAGGAGAGTGAAGACGTGAAGATTGAAGAAACATTCAGAGTCAAACATGAAGATACTGAGGAACAAACAGGTTGGTTTATTAAAATGTCCAGATCTACAGAAATGAATGATATTTATTAAGAATACCATGTGAGTGTAGTAATTCATATTAAACCCCAAAAATGTTATTTCTATCACTTATTATGCAACAGTATTTAAAAAAATTATATAAAGTAAGCCATGAAATGTGAATGAAAATGAAAAATGAACATAACTGCTTCAAAATGTGTATTTTGGGTATGAATGTGTGTAATTTACGTTGTACGTTCCTATCTTCCTCTTCCTCCGTCTTCTTCCTCCAGTCTTCCTTGAACTTAATTTGTTTATTTAAATGCAGCTAAAATCAATTGATTGCAACCACGTACCTTACAAAATTGAGAAAATGCAATAATTTTTTTCAGTGGAGGTACAGGAACAGAGAGAGCAAAAACTGCATGCATGAATGGATTTGATTTATATGCGTATCTAAAACAGGGGTCTCCAACCTTATTTCATTCGGGAGCTCCTCTTTGCAAATGAAAGCGGCTGAGAGCTACCAATGTTATACAATACTTAAGTCTCTTAAATAATGTATCAATCCAAATTGTTATACACGGCATTGTTAAAATGTGCTGGAAATATTAAAAAAATACTGATACACACTGAAATGATTTTTCCAAGATTTATGACAAATAAAATAATAATAAAACCAATAGAATTGGCAGCACTAAGCACTTTTTGTTTGCATAAACAGTGAAATAAAAACATAAAAAAATTATGGCCGGATTTTAAACTAACAAAAATTATTCATCACATGTTATCTACTGACATGTACTACATGTTCAAATAAAGTTTTGACCATTTAAAAAAAAAAAAATAATTATAACATATCCTTTAAATCTCTTTTTATATAAAAAGGATGAGTCAGAATGATAAATTAAATTTTATCTGCTCCATAAACAGTTCTACATAAGCTAATGTGCATTCTAAAAATCTCAACACTTCTGATAACAAGGTAGCTTATTTTCCATCGACCGGTTGAGATTTACAACATAAATTTGGTCCGATTTTCGCATTGGTCTGAACAAAAATATGGCGGAGAGACTGAATGAATTTGTAAATCCACAGTTTGACAGCAGGTGGCGCTTATGAACAGCAGAACAGAGCTGTTTCCACGTAACCTCTGTAAACAAAGCTGCGCTTCTAAACACAGCTTTATTACGCATTACGTGGAGGGAAGATGGAAAGCAAATGCCATCTAAACTCTTCTGAAGACAGTCGATTTCCTATTATGCATTCACAAATAATTAAATCATACATTCTTTCATATAATTTCCCTCAGCAGTCAGCCTTCAGTCATGTTTTCACACAAAGCGAAACTACGTGTTGGCAAATTCTTTAAATATAAAAAACGTACTTACAGTCTTTGAGTCAGAACAGCCGGCATTGTAGTCTACTCTACCAGGATCAGGAAACAGTCCTCCATAACATGTGCTGCACACATCTGGATATTTGGGTTGAAGTGTTCTGGAACAGTGTTGTAAATACAACTTAATCACTGATTTCTAGTTGTGTCCTCTTTTGGAAGACCAAACAAAGTAGTTTCGCTTTCACAACGAAACAGCGTCACACACCGCGCAGCCTTGAGTGAGCTGCGGCCGGCTTGAGTGAGCGGAGGCGGCGGATTCGACGAAGGAGCGGCCGGCGGGCTTGCGGCACCCACATGTGACGACCCCGGGCTGGACTCCGCTTCGTCCACGGTGAAAGCCGATCCGGCGATCCACAGCGCAAAGTTGATGTATTTCCTCAGCGACCAGCACTGACTCTTAACTTTTATAAAGAATATCTCTTTGGATTTGAGACTTTAGTCTTTGCAACTTTACAGATCTTCTTTATGCACCAAGAGCTTGTAACACTCCAAAGAGAAAGGAAAAATTGAAATCGCATCATATGACCCCTTTAAAGATAATTTTGATATTGTTTTTCATCTTAAGTAATTTTGCTTGTAAAGTAAATTCATCTTGAATCAAGAATTTTTAGATACAGTATTATTACCAGTTGGCTTTTCATACAGCTTCTTATTTTCTTCTGCTCGCATCACATGCTGCATAGGCTTTTATCTTTAACTTCTGAAGTAGGGCTGGGCAGATTCTCAAAAGCCGCGAAACGATCTTTTCCGGTATTTATTTCAGCAAACATTTAACACAAGATCTGATTGTGAATCTTATCATTAGTCTTCTCCACTAGATGTCACCCTCTTATTTACCTTACGCGATGTTACAACAACAATACTACAGCGAGAATCAAAGTTATGCTTTCTTTCTTTGCGTGAACATTTGGGCGGTGTTATGCAAATCTTCCCACATAGTGACGTAGGTATGTGGGGGTGTGTTAGAACGAGCCGTTTTAGGTAGGTGTGGCTGACTCTTAACTTTTATAAAGAATATCTCTTTGGATTTGAGACTTTAGTCTTTGCAACTTTACAGATCTTCTTTATGCACCAAGAGCTTGTAACACTCCAAAGAGAAAGGAAAAATTGAAATCGCATCATATGACCCCTTTAAAGATAATTTTGATATTGTTTTTCATCTTAAGTAATTTTGCTTGTAAAGTAAATTCATCTTGAATCAAGAATTTTTAGATACAGTATTATTACCAGTTGGCTTTTCATACAGCTTCTTATTTTCTTCTGCTCGCATCACATGCTGCATAGGCTTTTATCTTTAACTTCTGAAGTAGGGCTGGGCAGATTCTCAAAAGCCGCGAAACGATCTTTTCCGGTATTTATTTCAGCAAACATTTAACACAAGATCTGATTGTGAATCTTATCATTAGTCTTCTCCACTAGATGTCACCCTCTTATTTACCTTACGCGATGTTACAACAGAAAGCCTGTCAATCATTCAGTGCTTATCATGGCGGAGATACTGTTGCGTGACTGATATGCGTGATTTGCAATGCTCAGGCGAAATGCTATAGTAATACTACAAATCTGCGGAAGCATTTGACATCAAGCATAAGGCACCATGATTTCCGCAATGAATGAATGGCGGATGGCGTGACGCACTGTTTTGTTTACTACACACATACGAAAGCGCGGACGACGCTCACGCTGTTTTCAGCTTCTGCCGTCTCACTATATGACGATATGAACACACGGAATATCATCTCCAGCTGCTCTGAGAGTCACTTCATTAGCATTTTACCCTTTTTTTTGAGAACAATACCATTATATCACATACACAGCAGCTGCAAGTTCTTTACGGCAACCCGTCAAAATAAAAGTTTAGTCTAACGTGAAGAAACTCGTGTCAGAAATATATGACTATTTAGCAGTCTTAAGACTCAATTCTACTACAATGCTAACAATACTGCTACTACTACTAACAAATATTAATATTTATTTTTAAAGGATTCATCAAATGTTTTCTTTTTAATTTTAACAGTAAACCTCTGTTGTGCAGCACTTTGTTTGCCAAAAAATAAAAGGGTTTAATTTTCATTTGATTAGGATAAATAGAGTGGTGGAACGATAACGTCACTTTGTATGTGGATCGGCTGTTAACATCACACTGGTTCCCTCGAGAAAAAGCCAATAGGATTTTTCCATAGGCTTTTGGATTATCGCAAAAAATAAGCTCTGTGTTCAACCATAGTTCATGAAACTTGCACGTTTTGTCCATCAAGATAATCTTCACAAAATGATATAACTTTTATGAATTTTGAAGCCTAAATAAAAGCGCCAGAACTTAAAAGCTAAACTTACGCTATTAACAAACTACAGCACCACGGTCGCTCGCCTTCAGCGTCACCACCACCATGCTTCCCACAACTTTATCAAACTTATTTTTAACATGTTCAGTGAAAAGGATTTATTCTGTATATGAATTTTTATCCACGCTACATGAACCTTTTCATATAAACTGGAATAAATACAAAACTAGAGCCAAACTAAAACTGAAACTAGACATTAGTAATAGTGTAGTGAATAAATGAAATGATCATAACTACATTTCGAAATAAGGTACATTAAAAGTCAATAAACCCTTGATTAATATGAATATTTGAATTAAAAACGTGTCTCCACGTACTATTCAATAAAATTCTAGTGCATTTAATCTATTAAATAACAGCAGAGTGTTTGAATATGGTAAGATTAAACTTATTTTAGTGAATAAAGTACCACATTTCAGCTATCGTTTTGTTAGGGTGGGTACACAAAATGTTCTTTTATCCTTGCTTCTAAAAAATCCTCAATCTATATACTTTCTAACAGCCTCATGTGGCTGTAAACATTTAATTTTAACGTGGCTTTAAGCACTATGCATCATTAAAGTTTCACTTTCACCGTGACTAAGCTGGTAAATGTGGTGTTTACATGGACTAATCATATGAGTTTACATTATGGTCCGAACCCAGAGTCTCTGCATCAGTAGGAAAGTGATAAAACGAGCATCTTCCATCCAAAGACTTGTTACATTTCGGGGCAAAGCAAAATAACATTGTCGAACAACAATATAAAATGTGGGAAACAATTAATTGGTTTTTCTACTATTAATTGTACTATAAATTATACTACAATTAGAAAATACTGTAAATTGATAAACTGTTCGACGTGATGACGTTTAATGTCTCTGACAGCGCCTGTAGTCCCATTTAGCAACTTGTTACCAACCGTCTTTTTTAAGAAACGTAACAGTTTAAAAAAAATCACGAGTGGGTTGTAATTGGTGCTTTATGTCGCAGAATAAAACGCACTGCTCGCATCCTTTGCATACGGTTGCCGTGATTAAACCAAGTAAGACATGTTCCTGGATCAACATTACTGTCCAAAAATATAGACTTAACCCAATCCCTACCCCTAAACCTAACCCTACCCATAATTTATCCCTAAATAACAAGGGTGTAGAAGCACCTAACTCTGATCGTAAGCCTAAAACAGATATTTCCTGAAAAGTTATCCCTCAATTCTGATTGGTTGATTGGAATGTTGTTCCAGGAACATGTTGTACTTGGTGAAATCACATTCACCAAAACTAGTGATTCAGTGCTTTAGTCAGTCTCGATGACTGCAGCACCACACAGTACCATCTCAATCAAGAACTTATGTTTTATATCTTTTTATATTCACAATAAAATGGTTATGTTTAGGTTTGGGGGTCGGTTAAGGGGTCTAAAAATGTAAATCATTAATCGATAAAATGGTAAAAATGCATTGATACATATCTATATGATATGGTGTAATATGTGAAAATCGCATGTTTCAGCATTAATCAAAACATTCAAAAATTTATGTTTTATAAACAATGAGACCAGGCTGGGAATGCAGCATTAAAGCGAAACCTGTTGCAGTTTAATTCACTGATTTAATTCACTTTTTGTAATCGATTGACAGCACTACTGTCAATTGGATGTCTGTTGCTTTGTGCCATTAAACTTGTTTTTGTCTCTTTTCCTCTCAGGCCTGATGGCGCTGAAAGAGGAGAGTCAAGAACTGAATGAAACCAAAGAGAAAGATCAAAATGAGAAACAGCATGATTTCAAACCTGGAGAAAAATTGATTGGTTGCTCACAGAATGAAAAGAATTCAAAACCAAAAAAATCTCAAAAAACGCAAAGTACAACCCTCAATTCCCAGATGAGAATTCCCACTGGAGAGAGACCTTTCACTTGCCAACAGTGTGGAGAAATTTTCAATAGAAAAGAAAGCCTTAAAGTCCACAAGAAAATTCACATTGAAAAGAAACAGTTCATATGCTCTCAGTGTGGAAAGATTTTTACACGGGAAGGTCACCTTAATATCCACATGAGAACTCATACTGGAGAGAGACCGTACACCTGCAAACTGTGTGGGAAGGGTTTCATACAAAGTGGAGGTCTTAAGAGTCACATGAGAGTTCATACTGGAGAGAAACCTTTCACCTGTCAACAGTGTGGAGAAATTTTTAATCAAAACGAAAGCCTTAAAGTCCACATGAAAATTCACATTGAAAAGAAACAGTTCATATGCTCTCAGTGTGGAAAGTATTTTACACAGAAAAAAAACCTTAAAGTCCACATGAGAATTCACACTGGAGAGAGACCATTCATATGTGCTCAGTGTGGAAAGAGTTTGAGATATAAAGAAAGCCTTAATTATCACATGAGGATTCATTCAAGAGAAAATGGTTTTAAATGTCATCAGTGCGAAAGAAGTTTCACAGACACAAATCACCTTGAGGATCATGTTAAAATTCACATCGGAGAAAAGCCTTTCATGTGCCATCTACACTACACTGCTCAAAACTCGCGTTTGAATCATCAGTGGCAAATCCTTTAAATATAAAAAAAGGTACTTACAGGCTGTGAGTCAGAAGCGCCAGACTGTCCTTGCAAAGTTGGAACTACCCCACTTTATAGAAACAGACACCGACCTGAATGTCAGTGGAGACCATGTGAACTAGATGCGCCCCAGAGACAGATCCCCTCCAAAGACCTTGTCAACTTGATGACCATTAGCACAAGACCATGGGAACCAGATGATTCATCTGCACAATCTGGCCTGCGTTGCAAGCTGGAATTAAACTGAGCTGGTTTCGTCTGGCCAGGGGAGAACTGGACCCCGACTGAGCCTGGTTTCTCCCAAGGTTTTTTTCTCCATTTCTGTCACAGATGGAGTTTTGGTTCCCTGCCACTGTCGCCTTTGGCTTGCTTATTTGGGGGTGCTTGAATGATTGCACAGACTCTATTGCAGTGCTTGAAGTGGAAAAAAAGAAGTGCCGGTACTCCAACCCCCCCCTATTTATTTATTTATATATTTGAACTAGATGCGCCCCAGAGACAGATCCCCTCCAAAGACCTTGTCAACTTGATGACCATTAGCACAAGACCATGGGAACCAGATGATTCATCTGCACAATCTGGCCTGCGTTGCAAGCTGGAATTAAACTGAGCTGGTTTCGTCTGGCCAGGGGAGAACTGGCCCCCGACTGAGCCTGGTTTCTCCCAAGGTTTTTTTCTCCATTTCTGTCACAGATGGAGTTTTGGTTCCCTGCCACTGTCGCCTTTGGCTTGCTTATTTGGGGGTGCTTGAATGATTGCACAGACTCTATTGCAGTGCTTGAAGTGGAAAAAAAGAAGTGCCGGTACTCCAAACCCCCCCCTATTTATTTATTTATATATATTTTTTTATATTAAATAACTACTTTTTAATTTTCATAATTCACAATGTAGGCTATGTATAGTGCCGCAA